CTCGCCATCGGTCGGCGATTCCTTTGTGCGGTTGCTACCAATTTCATAAGCATAGACTCACCCAAGCTCAAAGTATTGCTTGGAATTGTTGTCTTCAGATACGCAATCCTTGACATTTTGTGACTCAGTGAGAAGTCTCAATATTTTCGGTGAGACCACGCGCAAGGACTTTTCAACTGTTCAACATAAACTTCGCAAACAACCTTGCTTGCGGTGTTGGTACACGGTTGGCCCACGGCACACCTTTGGTATGCTAGGTGATTTCAGGCTTTGCAGCAATCAGCGTGGCTCGGCATTGGTGACCGGCACTTGTTCGCTCGGGATAGAAAGGTTCCACGGGGCTGAGCACTCACCAAGGTTGGGGACATTGCATGGGTACGCAGAATGATATTTGAACATTGCTAGGTGGAAGCGCAAGGGTAGTATGGAGTTGTATCGCAATGTTCCTTCCACGTTCATTCTGTATGTTCCCTCCTTCCAAAGCCTTCACACCATTTCTGTCCATTTCTGGTATTTTTGTGTTGTGTGGTGACAAAAGCGCAACGTGTTGTTGCAAGTTCTTCGTTTTCACGCCAGATTGGGAACGATGACCGTACCGTCGAAGCGGGCCTCGACTCGTACTTTGAGAATATTCCAGCGTCAATGTTCACGGCATTCCGACACCTGGCGAAGACGTCGAACATTTTGAGTTGTTTTTTCTATGCTTGGAATGGTTTTGTATTCTCGATTGATTTCGATTGGTCTGATACAATGGTTCTGTTAATGTGTATTGATGTTTTTTGGGGGGTTGATGATAAGAATTTAAAGGTTGATGGGTCATGGTTGAACGCTCTGATTCTGATGGGTCATGGTTGAACGCTCTGATTCTGATTGCAAACAAACATGGTCATTTGGCTCCTTTATTCATTGCAAAAATACTCAAATACATTTTTTGGGATGCATCACATGGCTCAGTCAAGGATGCTTCACAGGAGAATGCATCAATGAGGACGGGAGACCAATCACTCATATGTTAGCGAGAAGGTTTGGACTTCCGTTCATTCTGGGATATGTGGCAAGCTATATGTTGGTGGCCATGGGGATCTTCAATGTGATTCTTGCAGTTCCCCGTCTGCAGTGAGACGACATGACAGCACTGCAGAATTCTTCAAGCCGCCACAGAAGAAAAGGATCCAATTTGGATATAGAAGCTTTGCATTGTTATTTGTTAATGTTGTGCTTATGTATTTGCCTTCGTGCAGGGTTGCCATGCCATACTGTAGACAGTACAGTCTTGGCAGCTTCATACTTCGAAGATTGATTCCAACAGTGGTACAGTACGTCAGAATTTTGCTTACTGTAGTTCAGTTGTCGTGCTTCTCTGGGTAAGTCACGCGCTGTTAGAAACCAGTATGTTGGAGCAAAGAAACCACATTAGAATCATTAGATTAGATTAGAGTATTCTGCAACTGTATCATCTATGTGTTCTTTTATGTGCCACACTAATTTTAAGTTGTTGCATTTGTTAGATATTGAGCTTGAAACAGGCCTGTTTGGTGGTGAGGATGTGCATGCTACCAAATCTAGCTATTTCACCGCCAACGTCAGCCCTCGCTGATGTTTAGTATACAAGTTTACAGAATAAAAGTGCGAATCTGACAATGAGACAACCACATTCATATATATATATATCAGCGCTTCATAAAGCAGCGGCCATGCGAGATTTTGTGAGTTTCTGTGGGATTCAACGACAGGGCATTGCATTCTCCCCCAGGAAAGAGGGAATAGTTTTGTGGATGACCGTAGAGTAGAGTGACCCCTTGAACGTCTCGAGGAACCGTCGTTCAATTCTTCGAAGGATCGTTCAATCGTTGAGGTTTATGTTGACATCACCATGAGAGCAGCCAAAGAAAACGAAGCGACCACTGCAGAGCAGTACTCCAGAGAGTCCGTCCGCATCGCCCGGACCACCCGGGAGCTATTGAAGTTTTTTGCCAATGCCTACAACCAGTGTCTCGCCGGAAGCCAATGCACATCAGACTGGGAAGTAGCTCCAGATTCATAGATTCATAGCTGACATGCAAGTGTTCATGCCGGATGGCAGGATCATTGTGCTCAAACGACAAGCATGGCCTATCTGTAGTTTGTTTTTCTCTTGCTGCAACTGCACCAATTAATCAAGTCCATTAGCGAACCTAGACATTGGTAAGTTTCCCTAAAAATCTAGGAACCAAATCATCAGTAAGGGCGGCGGGGGAAGCTTCCTTGAAGAAGTGTGAGCTATCCTGCTTCCATACTAGTAGCTACTTAAGCTACTAGCGTATACCTCTCCCTTCCAGCTACCGACTCCCTAGCTAACCTCTACTAGCGGCCTACCCCAAAAAAAAGACGAGATGAGTAATATTTCTAGTCCGAATCGTTCCCATTAGCGATTCAAGTCCTCACTCCGCACTTCGCTCTGCACTTCGTAAGGTTTGAGAAACTCGAGGATAAGCAGATTGAGAACGCGCTGCACGGGAGGAGCAAGAGCAAGTCTCTCGGCCTCCCAAAAAGACAACTATACCATGGGGTCCATAATATGTGGTTTGCATGTCGAAGAGCTGGGAAAGGTCTTTGGAATTACTTTTTGGACTGAAGGGCATGGTTGTGCTTGCGGCGCAAGCACGCATTCCGCTTTGGGGTGGCGCGAAGGTACCTGTGTTATATGAACAAGCTATATAAGTGTCCGCAACTAGGCCAGCATGGTCTCAAGCTTACAGGTCACGGACCAATGATTCTCACGCATCATTTTGCTCCCCAAAAAATGTATGGCCTCGTAACATGCATGCTGCAGTTTCATTCAAATACCTGACTGCAACACACCCTCACACTGCAGTGCCTCCAGTCTCTGAAGAGACATACCTTTTGCAGATTGATTTTGGAAAACGGAGCGCTGGTTGAGGGCTGGTCGCTCATGAATTTCGCGCTAGGATTGGTTTGGGAACACCTGCTGGCCTCTTCACGGACGATGAGCATATTGAGGGGGTTTCTATCACAAAGGACTGTCTTTGACATGGTCTAAGGCTGACATGTGACTGTGAAGCAAGAATTTAATCTGACTTAGACAGGACACCTATCGAGATTATATGATCTGTATAGAAATTAACTTTGCATAGGAACGTAGCGTAGTGTAGTGTATAGGCGCGTGACGTTATATCATCAGTCTACTTGTCCGCTACTAGACTAGTTTGTCGCTGATAGGCTTGCCCCTCTCCCTCTCCAAGGGAGAGAGAAAAATGCTGGGCGAATGGCAGCGAGGAAAATCCATGCCTAGACCAGCAAAACAAAGTTATATCGAGGCAGAAGTTTTCGATGATGACGGAAGTCCACTAAGCACGGTTGTCCTATGGGTGAAGAATATTCTCACCCCAGATGAATTTGGGAGAGCGTTGCAATCTTATGTGGCTGGGGCACAGATTCTTACTATAGATGGTGGATGAGAACCGCCGAGGGCGCAGGCAGAACTATGGACTGTGCTTGCCAGAGATACACAAAGGACAACCTCACACCTGCTGCGGAGGCGCCGGAGAGCACATCGTGCATCTAGGAAAGTGGAGGCACTGGCAAGAGAGAGACGCGCGAGAGAGAGAGAGAGGGCTTGTTGAAAATACAGATGATCAGGCCACACCAGCATGTGGAGGCGAGGTGCCTTCGCCGGAGGCTATGGGGCCAGCAAGAGCTGAAGGCAAAGAAAAGGGTGCTTTCACTTTTTAGCCGCTTAGACAGGACCTGGAAGGAAAGCAAAAAGGGGCTAGTTCCAAGTGGCTCCACCAACGCACAGACAGACATGCTCATCGGAGCGGACACACAGAAAGCTTGAACAGAAGAAGAGGAAGGAACCTAAGGCTCTGTTGGTCATGGCATATGGAAAGGAAAAGACAGGAGCAGAAAGCAAACTTTTCCGGTCGTTGGAAGGGCAAAGAGGAGCACGGCTTCGCATTGATGAGGCGCCGAAGGCTGAAAGATGACAACAGCTGGGAGCTAAACCAGGGGAACCCACTGGAACGGGGGCGAGTTGCTACAGAGGCGAGACAGGGAAGAAAGACGAGTCGCCCGATGGAATAGTTGAGAAGAAGTGAAGGAAGAAGATTTGAGCATATAGGGTGGAAGAAACATCAGCAGAAGGCAAAAGCTTGAGGAAGGTCTTTGGAGAGCGGCCAGATCTGCTAGAAGTGGCATGGCGCAGTCTTTGCCATGGACGTGCTTACCGATAGACAGTGGTGCAGCTATGCTGACGCGGCTGACCCAACTATCAAACAACATTCATATGAGATGGGGGAATGCGTACGAAGGGCCACCCGGCCACCCGCGCTTCGCGACGAGTCGCAGGTCATGGGCTTCACTTGTCTATACCAGCGCGGGATGCAGCGGCGGTCAGGAAAAGAAACAAGATGGCTATGGCGGCGCCGCTCCATGAAGACGCACGTTCTTCTGTTCGGAGCACTCGAGGCGTTCTTGGCTGCGGTAGACAGTTGACCTGGCCTCACTGCTGGACGTCAGTGACGTCAGAGGCCGTCGCTTCATATCGCATAAACTGGGCTAGCTCGTTGGCTTTAACACAACGATACACAACGGGGCTAATTTTTCCAACGGAGGAGGAAGCGACGCAACCATGAACAAGGCTGCAGTCAGCGTTATGAATCTGGAGGGGTGCAGAGGGGATGCACCAATTGCGGGGGAAGGAGAAGATTGCCAATGGGATCCGCAACATGCAAAAGGCAAGGAAGATGGGATTTGAAAGAGCACATCTGGAGCAGCGGCTGCGATTAGGAAACTATCGCGGCCGCGATGTCCGCGGAGCTGTGCGGGGAGACATGGAGCAAATCGCCCTGCTGCGGGGGTACACAGCCTTCACGCTTCCGCTGCCCATGGCATTTCGGCCGTGGAATTCCTCGCGGACAGACCTTCAAGATATCGAGAGGGCAAAATCAGTTGCAAAGCGCCGACTTGGCGCACAGTTCAATGGCGACCAATGGCAAACACACCGCATTTTGAGGTTCTCAACTTATGCCAAAGGAAGGCGCGGTTTTGAACGCATATTTAAGAGACCATGATCTCGTGCAGCCCTCGGGGTGCCCTGTCTTGTACTTTATCGTTGTTGTGGTCTTGACAAGGCGAGTGTGAGTGGTGATAAATGAAAAATCCAGAAATGATTTAATGTATATGCTAACAGTACGTGTTTCCTTTGTTCCAGACTGAGAGGGAAACATTTTGTCACCCACGTCTTGCCACAAAGGCTGGGCACTGGCAAGGTTCAATCTGTCAGCCGTCAGCCAATTCGCGCAGCTTTTCTTGTGGATTGTGACCATTTGATTCACACAAGGCTCGACTCAAGGTTCACAACTGGCCCTGCGTTGGCTGGTCCCTAGGCTTTCAATTCTTGAGCGTTTTTGTGAATGTGGCGTTAAATACAAGTTGGTCTTGTTACAGGAGCTCTTCTTGCTGGTAATCCAAGATCGTTATGCTCAGAGTCTCATGGACGACTTGGACGCGTGGCGCGCACGTCTTGGAGTTGGCAGTGTGAACGGTTGACGGCTGGAAACAACGAAATGTTGCTCATGCTTTTGTGATCCGCTGGGCGTTCTGTGATTCAGTGTGTGTTCGGATGGGAGCCCAAAAGCTTCAGGTTGCAAAACGGAACCCGCATTGGCCCAGTTGCCAGCAGCATTACCTTTCCAAATTGGTGAACCTTCGATCTTCAAGACCCAGGATTTGCCGCATGACGGGGCCAACTTGTTTGAGATCATCGACGCAGATGGCTCGGGCAGCTTGGGACTTGCTGAGCTTGTGCAAGGCACGCCGAACGTCATTTCCCTTCGCGGTCTATTCTGTGTGTGTGTGTAACCTTCGGAACCCTTTGGAGTCACAAGCCGGCCACAAGCCTTTCGGCGTTTGTTTTTCTCGGAAAAAACCTTTCCAATTGTTAGAAATTCTCATCTTGTTGGATTGGCATGACCCTCGAAACAATTGAACATTTCTATCCTTTTCCGTGGGGATTCACCTGCCCACAGTCCAAGTTCCAAGCTGTGCCCTCATGTAAGTCGCTTACCGGTTTTTCATTTTTCCGTAGTGTTTATAGTTTCCTTCTCCTCTTCTTCTCCGGACCTCAACTGCACGCGCTGGATCGCAGTGGCACGGCGGGCCCTGAACCGCAAGTGCTCGATCGAAGCGGTCGCCGCCAGACCTCAAGCGCTCCTTCGCAGTGGACACCGCAAGTGTTCGATCGATCGCAGTGGGCACCACCAGACCGCAACCGCCAGTGCTCCATCGCAGTGGGCACCGTCGGCCCTCAACCGCCAGTGCTCCATCGCAGTGGACACCGTCAGGCTCGTCCCCACCGCTCGATTCCAGCGGGCCCCGCCGGACGAATGCCAGCGGTTACGCCAGATACAACGCAGGAATGCGTGCCGGATAGAATGCAAGATGAACACTGTCTTTGATTGCAGAACATGTCGGAATTCATGTCAGAGCACGTAATTGCCAGGACCGAAGTCAGACCATATGTCACAGCACATGTCAGACTTCACGGCAGGAAAAATGTCAGAACACATGCCAACAAGGATGCAAGAACACAGTCCAGAACATTCCCAGCCTTTGTGAAGATGATGTGTCAAAGCACAAACCAGACTTGATGCCAAATCAAGTATCAAAACATTGTGTCAATTTGCATGCATGTGCCTTGCCTTCTTCGAACTGCACTTCAACCCAAGGGCTTGTCGATATTGCCAGTGGCGCCAGGTTTGCTGAAGATCCGTGGCGAGATCAACAAGAGCGACACCGTGGCAGCGTTTTTTGTCGCACAGGGCCAGACCCTGGACGGGCACAAAAACTATCAGATGACCCACTAGATAAGCGGGATGCAAGAAAATCAGTTGAATGCGCCAAAGTTTTTGCCCCTGCTGCCCTTGTTTTTGTTTGTTGACGTGTGGCTCGAAATTGATACTCGCGATGTCCATTGTTGACATTTGGCTGACGGCACAACAATTCGATCTCGCCTCAGGTTGTTGGCGACCAAGGCTGTACAAGCACAACTGAGCGAGATGATGGAGGCAACAATGTGTTAACTGTTTTGCAGTTTTGCTGGTTTGCTGAAGGAAGCAAGATGTGTTTGCGCTGATGGTTCAAGAGAAATGTGAAGCGCAAAGAGCGATGTAATGCGTTTTTGTGAATTGAAGTGTTTTGGCCATCATTCATTACACGTGTCACATGAACGAATCCGCCCAACCAAATTCAGTCCTACCACATAAAAATGTTGTCCTTTTGTCCACTTATTTAATAAAAACTGTAGTTTGAAAGAAGTGTTTCAATTCACGTGTTGCATCACGCAAACCCACCTGCAGGCGGGAGTCAAAGCGCTTCTGGAGGACCAGTTTTCAGATAACTGTTAAACAGTTGATCTTGGCTATTAACATGGACATAAATATTGTAGGAATGATGTTTCATAAACAATTTGATTTAATTTATTCATGACCATGTGATACTGGTGCCTATGGTTTAAGAAAAATGTGTTTGATGACCGATTAAACGACCAACATCCGGCCTAATCTTCAAATTCATTACAACATATATATAGATCGATACATAAATATATGACATACTGCATACATTTTTCCACAGTGAAATGTGTGGAACTTTTGACTTAGGACAACCAGTTCCCGAAACGACGTGCACAACAACTTAAGCATACTCGCATCAGTAGGCGTTTGGCAACTCTGGTGTTCACTTCAAAGCTCCAATGAACAAGCGCCAATGACACCCAGCCTGGCAGTCAATTTTCTTGTGCTTTTGGACGAGGAGAACAATGACAACAAAGACGACAACAACAAAAAAAAACGACGACAACGGCAACGACGACAACAACAGCAACAACAACAAAACGACCGCGACAACCAAAACAGCATGAATTACAGTTCCCACGATTGTTTCAGTTGTTTACCCGTGACCATGCTCAAACTATATATAGTAATATATATATAGTAATATATATATATACTATAATGGTTTCACGCGTTTGTTGAGCACCCTGACATCAAGATTTGCATGTGTACATGTTTGTGCATGTTGATTGTCCTTCAGTATTGTTGGGAACTTCCGACAGAGTGCTTTTGGAACTCTGTCGTTTGTCGTAGCCTTTGTATTTGTTTCTTTGGGAACCAAGAGACACAGGCGGGATGTTGGAGCCCTCATATTGTTGTTGTTTTTGCTTGACATATCTCTGTTGTTCATTTTTGATATGCCATGAACGCCCTCATAGTAAACGCATCAATGGCTGATATCGATCACAAATTCCTACCAGGAGAGCTCGCAAAATGCCAAGAAACTGGAGAGATTGAGCCAGGAGCTTCAAGGTCGGTTCATGGCCCTTCGGCGCCGGACCAATGGGGCCGAGGACTCGCTTTTTTACAAATAGACAACTTGTATTTCGACAACTTTGTGCTTGGGGTCTATGGGATCCTGTGGGCATTAACATTGGGAAGTGGAAGTGAGGCCAAATTTGCAATAGCTAAGTTCATTGAGTTCTGTTTTGAAGAAACCTTTTCCAATTTTGACACCTCCCGGTTCTTAGTGAGCCTGTGATGTCATATGAACCAGAAGATTAGATGCCCTCAAAAAACATCAGTGGCTCCATCAGGAAGTCAAGCACATAGTGCTTCCATCGAGCAAGAACTGAGGATCTCACTTTCCGGATGGGCACTGCTGTAGACCATGGATACGAAGCAACGCCGCGCAATTCTAAGAAGACCACAAAAGATGAAGATGGCGGAGGTGCCTGGACCTGCACGGGGCTGTTGTGGCAAGAGGGTCTCACAGTGTGACTCACAGGCAGTTCTCAAGGATCACCAATTGGGTTACTTGCATCCTTGCTGCTTTTTCAGGGAAAGCTGCTTCTTCGACCTAGGTATTATGCACATATGCCATATTATGGATCATATGGAGGACAGCAACAAATGAAAAGGTCTGATCTAAAGCAGTGCGGAACTTTCTTCGATGCTTTGATTGTGGGGGATGCGTTTCTTTGTGTGTAAAATCAGGGTGAGCCAGCCAACTTGTTTTGGCCCAACCAAGCGCTGTTGTTTCCAAAAAGGTTGTATTGTGATAGACGGAGCTACACTAGAGCCACTAGAATCACCACACAACAAACCCGTACATTGTTGTTGATTCACCACACTCGGGTCCTTGGACACGAGTGTTCGAATTATCGTAACAAGCATTTGGGCTGTTAGACTGTAGATATCGGCCACCACAGGGTGTGGCATGGTACGCGTCAGACGCACATAAAAAGCATCACCACATCGCAACAATTGATCTCCATCTAAGATTTAGATGACCGGCGGTGCGCTATACCTTTCGGTCAATCTGGAAGACATGGCCAGACAGCAGAGTAGAGTGGTGTCTTAATGAGCTTGCATCGCACTGTATACTCCATCAGCATGATTGCCAACTCCATGCCAGGTGGATTCCCGTCTCTTGCTGTGCTGGACTTGCCTGTGCGGCCTGAGCTGCAGATAGAGGATGACGACCACCTCTTTGAATCTTGGCACATATATAATTTTCCAGGCTTGTCCGCAAATGTAGCAAAAGGCAAAAGGTAATCTAGATCTGTACTGTGTTCTCCACTGATTTACATAGGGGGACCCTTTCCCACAGGCTAAATCAGTCCGTTAGTCCGAAGTATCCCATGTCTCAAAAGCACGTTTCTGGATCAAAGCGACTTCACGTCAAAACCGTTCATGTTCACCACATGAGAGCCCAACTCCTAACTAACGACCCTATAACCTTGCAAGTCGGATGAACGACACAAATGGTTCAATAGTTTGTTTGTGTTTTTTCTGCCAACCAATTATATCACTGAAACGATGTAATGTGTACAGCTTCTTGCAGTTTGCTACTGTCCCCAATCCCCGAGACATGTCGGGGTGCAACCCCAAGGTTGCAGCAGTTGAAACCGCATGAAATTTATTGATCCTTTTGGCTCTGAAACTTGGGTCATTGGCTTGCCGCTGTGTTCTTCACCTTCCAGCAATAATAACCAAGCGATGGCTATTGGCTATGACGCACAAAAATCAGAAGGTTGGTGCTCACTGGAGCCATCCTGGCAGATTTTTCATTTTGTGTTGCACTTTGCTACTAGCAGCGATGGCCTCCAACCTAATAGCTTTTTCTACTAGTAGATCTTGTCGATTTCGTGTTGAGATTGTGCCCTCGTCCTTCCCTCGAGGTTCCTGTCGGCAGGCTTGATTGCTTGGACGGGGGAGCGACATGCGTTAGACGCGTTAAATGGCCTGCAGGTTGAGCCAGTTTGCTACACTCAATGAACATGTCTAGCTTGTTTGTAGATTGTGTAGGTTTTGTGGAAGGCTGAATTAGGGTTTGGCCGCTTGCGCATGGCAAGGTAATACCTAATTGTTCCTAATTCTGAGTTTGTTTTGAGTTTTGAGCACGCAATATAGCGTCAGGATAGGTTGATCCTGGTGAGGCATGGTGAGGCACAATCCCACTCTAAGAAGCAGTACACAATCTGGCTGGGTGATACGTACTGGAAGAAAGGAAGTATATACAGTGTCCGTCACTACAAAGATGTATATATATATATACACAACAATTTGCGGATCACTTGTTGGTTTGTTTATTCAAGGATCACGAGCGGCTGTCCCGCAATGACTTGCAGGTTTGAACCGGCAGCAGACACATCAACAGGTTGAAGGCCAAGTGAACTTTTAAGTCTTTCCTCTCAGATGCCTGCGGGACTGATGAGCTCATATCCTCTAAGAGGATGCTGACCCAGGTTTTGAACATGCTTGCCAAAGGGCAAGTTCAAAGGATTTTTCAGGGGACGTATAGCCGCGGCCCCGAAGATCTTGAAGATATTGTTGCCAGTTGTTGTAATCCACACCAGTCAACGAGGCGTAGAAATCCTTCAAAGGTTGCTGACAAAGATTTCAGTGAGAATTCCAGCAATGCCTGACAAACCAAGGCCAAGAGCTGTAACAGTTGCAATTCAACTCGAACAGGTGCTTGCACAACTCACTTCTCCAAGATCTTGCACCTCGTAGAATCATGTAGAACATGTGGAGAGGCGTTCACCCTTCAACTCTGAATTCACTGGCGGGACTGGAAGATGCTTTGACCCCGCTTCCGTCTCCCTAGCAATAGGCATAGCTCAGAAGAGATGTGCAGGTAGTGATTTTTGAAGACCAGGTCACCAGGTCAATAATACTATTAACAAACTGGTACTGCACTGCACTATGTAATTATTCGGCAAAAAGGCACATCGTCAGTTTACGATTCATACTCACCGCTGCGGTGTTCAAGATATTTATTCATGATGGAAGATGCTAGAGTGTGTCGCTATTTGCACAGTAAAGCCTCATTTGGTGCTGAGGACTTCCAAAACAAACAGCAGCCAGGGATAAGCACGGCGGCAGCAAGTAACAGTGGTTCCAGCACTCCAGCGAAAAATGATGAGCTCCGACTGCACGGACATGAGGTGTGAGGAAGCAAGCCGGGCATAAAGCTATTGCCACCTGATGGGAGTGTTCCAGGTGACCAAGTCAGCTCTTTAAATAATGTTATCACATGCTTATTAACCCTTCCTAGGAAGCTCACAGAAGGTCTGGGGTGTGGAACGCCGCCACAACACTATAATCTGGAGGAGTGATCAATCATCAATCTTTTCATGAGCAGGGATCCCAAAGACTCAATGCAACGTCCCTGAGCAAGTACAATTACATCTATATAATTACAACAAAGAATTGCTGCTGGGAAAAGATTTGTCGAGGAAGGGAAGGGGTGTTTCTGGAGACCCTATTTTGATCTATTTTGTACAAATTGACCAGACGTGTTTTGGAAATGCACTTAGTATTTCAATGTGTTGAAATAGTTTTGGCCAATCTAATGGGACGGTTCCCTAGTCAATCCTAATCACAGGTGCAGCATCGTGACTCAGCACTGTTTCTAGTCTTCTTTTGGGACTGTTTGCTATGGTTTGTGCAAGCGGACGTTTCTCAATTGGGATATTAACTGTTATTTTCCTTCACCCTCATTGCCATTTAGCAGTAGTTCAGCAGGTCCTGAACATAGATGGTTTGTCAGAAGCTCGGCCTCGCAGACAGTGGAAGCTCTGGCAAGTATAGATTTGCTGATCAAGCACGCACATGGATACTTCCAGCAAAGCTATGTGCATGCTATTCCAGAACCTTATGATGAAACAACTTCTTGAGGCTGTTCTTTGCTGCAGCATGTGTCACGTACCATGATTTGGCCCCCAGTAGGAGTTGAGGCGGCTGACACACGCTGGTGGGGAGGACCAGTTTGAGTGCAGGTACAGCAACAGAATGAAGGGCGGCGTGTGTGTGTGTGTGTGTTTTCCCAACCGGGCCAGCTGTGCACTGAACTGGGTTGTGTGAGAGGTCCTTAGTGAGCAGCAGGTCGCTACAATTCCCCTTCGGAGAAATCTTGCAGTTGCCCCCTCACGCCATGGAGAAAGAAAGCTTTGCTCGATTCCTAGACGCATCTTGGCAGGCGGGAGGGCGCGTAAGGGGCCGCTTCTGCTGCGCAAGATTGCCAATCACTTGTAAGGATCTGCTACTGTATTATCATCGCTGCTGGTTGACACTTAGGACACAAGCTTGTAAGATTGTCTTTGCTAATTTTATTATATATACAGACACATTACATTACGAAAGCCAGCCGATAGGCTAGGCTTGAGCTCTTAGAGCGAACGAAGTGAGTTAAGGGGGTGTGGGGGGGGGGAGGCCGCGAAAAGGCACCATTTGAGAGGGTGAACCCGGCTGGGGGAGTGCGCTCCAAAGCGATGGTCAGAAAAGCAGTGAAAATGGGGTTTGGTGATGCGAGTGATGCAATGGACTCCGAGTAGTGCACCATTAGCATCACGAAGGGCTGTGGAGGCTATTTGGACAATGGGCATTGAGCACTGGAGTGGAGACAGGCACCCATGTGCAGAGCAACCATCCTAGTCTCTACTATACTTGAGAAGTCTGGTTGGATGTATTGGGGCCAGTATGGTAGTTGGTTGGCAGCGACGAGTGCCTATCAGAAAGGGGGCCCGTGTAGATAGCAACTTGGTGGGGTGAAGAGATTGCTGTTTGAGGATGGGTTATAGGTACGGATCTGTGGAATATTTAAAGCTGAGGCATAGAGTTCCTGCCATCCTCCTAGTCATCCTTTCAGAGAAGTCTGGTTGGATGTATTGGGGCAAGTATAGTAGTTGGTTGGCAGCGACAAGTTGCTATCAGAAAAGGGGCCCGTGTAGATAGCAACTTCGTCGGGTGAAGAGATTGGTGTTGCTTAAGGACTTGTTATAGCCACGGATCTATGCAACATTTTAGGATGACGCTTGGTGACACTCACGTTGAAGCATACAGTGCCTGCCATCGTCCTAGTAAGCATGTGTTACTTAGATGGTTTCTTCTTTTGACCCTCTCGTCTGGCGGCCGCTGGCTTTCGTTCCCCCCTTCTCAGGTATTGTCTCTTGATAGATTGAAGCAATACAGCGTATGTATATATATATAGACACCATTTGTCTAGTCAAATCAGCAAGATCCTGAATGACTTTTAACCCTGAGGATTCCTTTCCCTTCATGCTTTGCTTCTTTGCCTTTTGATTCGTTTGTTTGATTTTGCAAATCCTTCTGAAGTCAAACTGAAATAATCAAAAGGTTCTTGAAACGGAGCAAGAGATCAAAATGAATCATATGAGGCCTACAAAAAATGAGTATGGAAATGAAATTAGTGGGGGAGGACAGGAAATCAAAAGAACAAATATGAAAAAAAATCAATCGGAATCAAGATCAATCAAGATCGATCAAAGCAAGTCAACAGATGCCAAAAAACACCGCAACCAAAGCTGTAACAAAGATTGTTTAGGTTGTTATGATCAAGGACTATTGTTTCCTGCCTTTGTAAATTGATGCACACAATCCCTTGCACTATTTTGCTAGGATGTATTAGAGAATTCTTGGAAATGGTGATGGCTTGCTCTCCAGAAGTACAAGGAATGTCTCTTGTTTGGACCATTGCTTGGACGGTTTGGAGGACTAGGAGGGTTGGGACCTGCAGTCTTTCTAGAGAAGACCAAAAATAGTCAATAGTTCAAGAACCATTTGGTTTCAACAACACCTGTTGCCGTGACATTGTGTTCGCAGTAGAGGGTTCACGGGTACCACAGGCTTTGGCATCTCCCAAGGCCTGATGCCTCTTGAAAACATGTCGCTTGAGAAGAAAACCCCTGAGACCGATGGAGACGCTTAAGACGGACACGTCCATCTCGTGCCGCAATCCAGGCCTTTCGGAGTCAGGTGCTGGAGGCATATGAAGCCGAGCCATGACAGCTGTTATGAGATGTGAAATTTCTCCTTTCATCTCCTTGAGCTGTTTCACTGCACTCAAGTAGATCAACAACGCCATGCTTACATGACCGCTCAGTCCAACCTTGCGTGTGGCTTTGCATATGTCAAGAAACCACAAGAAAACCATGAAATCAACAATGGCAGGGTAACGGGCTCAGTGTCCGCCGTGATTGTTTGTGGACTGCAGTGGCATGTGTTGGGTGCGAAGATACATACGTCAAGAGAAAAGTTATTTCCCAACAGTTGTTCTTTTTTGAGCATGCTCACTGCTCACTTTGTTCTACCAAGCCCAAGCCGAGGGCAAAACCGACAAGTTGCCAGACCTGCAAAAGAAGGCCGACAGAGAATGGCGACCAGTGGCCGACGCCAGGAATGGCATCATTTGTCCTTGTGTGAAACAACGGCGGAGAGTAGAAGCTCGCTGAATGAACCACTTTGTTCATGTCCTACCTTACCTCGTCAAGACAAAATCAGATGTCGTGCAAAGCGCTCAAATGTTCATTTCTAGAGCACGCAGCACATCTCCATACCTTCCAGTCCTGGCAGGTTGCTGAGCTAGAGCTTCAGCTGGGGCTTGCACGGAAGCAAGCTGACTCCGAACCCCAACCTGAGGCAGCTCTGATCACAAACGCCCTAACGGCCATGCAGACGCTCTCTCCACAGCTTTTTCTACACCGGTGAGTCCCCACGAGAGACTTTTGGATAAAGTTTGGTACAGGCATTGAGTCATTGAGCATGCATTGATTAGAGAATTACCTAATCATCTAGTTTCCAGACGCTTCCAACATGGACCATTCCGCCAGGGTAGCTCTTCTGTTGAGACTCGACTTCTTGGCTCTCGAGAGACTCGAGAGTCACGAGAACGACAAGTAATGTCCACCTTCTCAGAGGCAGGAGAAGGAACATGTGCTTCTTTTTAGCAGCTCTAGCATAGTTAGGTTGTAAGGAGATACCACATTGACACATTATATATATAGTTCTTTCATGTTCTTTCTAGTTGGAAAGTGGTTGTGTTTCCTTGTTTCCGTGTGCAGAATGATGTTTCACAGCGGAAAATAGTTGCCTTTTGCAGAACGGTGTGTCCACATAGCAATGACCCTGAGGGGCTTTTGCCGCCGCTGGCGACGACAGGCTCAGGCCGACAATCCAAACATCGGCGGCATGGCCGCCTGTTCGTTTTGGATCTAGGTTTAAGATGGTTTAAGTTGGAGGAGAATGTCGCTGAACTGCTCGGTTGCTGAGGTAAAAGAGCGGTAACAACAAGGTAAAGCAGAAAAGACATTGAAATAATTGAAACATCTCAGGTTCCGCACAGCATTGACCAGGTGAAGTAACTCCACGGTCTACAGTGGAGTTCAACATTTCCAAGGTCAACAATGCGAACGCAGGCACCAGAGGGCTCAACGCGAGATCCATGCAAATATAACTATAATCAAATATATTGTTCATCGCTTTGGATCGACTGGTGCAGCAAGGTGCTCCATAGGAAATGTCACAAGCTTTGGCACCAGCGACTGAAAGCCACCTGCACAATGGCTTAGCTTCTTCCATTACACCCCCGTCTCCAGGCAGCCGCGCAGCCAGCGACGCGAGCCCCAGCCATTCCGCCAGCGAAGCCAGCCGTGCCGCCAGCGACGCCAGCGAGCGCCGCGCGCCGAACATCGACACGAGCATCAGTGCAATGACATCCATGTCCATGGAAGCGACTGATCGGCAGAAAATGGCCCGAAACAACCGCTCTTAGGGTGGAGGCCATCGCTAGTAGGGTGGAAACATGTTTTACCCTTGGTTCGTTGGACCGTTCGCAGGTCCATGCCGGTCCGTGGTCGAAGAACTTGATGGTTCAGTTTCTTCAAGTCTTGGACATGATGCCTGTACACTAGCACATGGGGAGTGTCTCGCTCACACATGCGGTTCCGTATTGTAGACCCATGACAACTGCCCTTGTGATATACAGAATCTCGCGGCCTAGGATATGGCGACCGGCCCACAGTCACCGCAATTCACGGCGCCGTTCCTGGGAGCTGGGCTGAAAGGTTTGAGTGCTCCTCGGATACATCGGGAGACTTTGAAGTGAAGGCCTCTCCTTTTGGAGTTCAAGTGACAGTGCTTCATCGTTCCGATGGAGAACACAGTGTAATGTGCTCGGTGCGTCGGGTCTTGAGTGGAGCAGATGCCCATTCTAGGCCGAAGAAGCACGTGCTGTCCGGCACCGTCTTCGCGTCCGCCTAGGACAGAGAATCATTGGCACAAGCCTATAAAAGGTGTGTGCGGCCCATTGGCCACCCCTTAGATTCTGCCGTGGTGTAGGTAAGGAGTAATCCATAGCAATCCCTTTTCACTTTGAAACAAAATACATCCTCCCCTAACGAAAGAACTCTGGTGTCGTTTTGCTAAACTCTCCAAAATAGGGGACCGGCAAAGATGGAAACCTGGGAAGAGCTTCAAAACCGAAATGTCGCCTAGGAAAGTTGTAAAATCAGTTATTAAACGCGTATCAAAAATTGCATAAAACCTTCAGATAGAAGGGTCTTCCTTTGTTCTCTTTACAAAAAATATTTTAGTAGAACAGTGATTCTTTGACATCCTTTTCATTAGACTAACAACTAAAGATCTCTTCATCTTTTTGCAAATGGGGCGTGGCACTCACTAGTGAGGGCAGGATTGGTGATTCTAGTGGGTGGGTACCTTATTTATAAGAAACACAATCCAAATCTACCTATATGTTTGTAGTTTAGTAGCAGTTTAAGAAAGCGGTTATTTAATTGTATTGAGTTGTTTTTCAATTTGGGTACTGTTTCTAAATGGGTACTCGGGATTAATATGTTTTAGACAGATACTTGGAGGTTGGAGCCATCATCAAAAATATTGTTCGCAAGTTGAACACATCATGAAATCTCCAGTTCCTTCTCGTTCGGCAGGATTAATCTCGTCGCAGACGTCGCTTGGATGCAACCAGTTTGACGGGCAGGACATGACCAGGATGACCAGGGCATCCGTTAGACTGTCACGTAGCTGTAGAATGCTCAGACAGTGACGACAAGAGGTGAGAAATGTTGGTGGTCATACTGTAAAAAGGATGTGAATTGGAGTGGAAGCGTCACGCATTTCACCCGAGATTCGAGAAGAATCCTTGCTGGGCATAAAAGAATCCTTCAAGATCCTTGAAGAAATTGATCCCCGCATGACCTGCTCCGAAGAAACACAGTCGAGAAGCTTCGCCACAATTGCTGATGGCAGAGATGAGAAAGCTTTCTTTGAGCCAGCGCAAATTCTCCAGTTGAGGGATTATGGCATAAAAGTTGGTAGAAAACCCGTCTTCGCAAAAGGAAGTTGACCTGTAATGACTATGACTTCAACTTTGTTTGTGACATATATTAGTGGAAGGACTCATTCTGCGGTTTTGTCCCCAAATGGCCACTCAGCCGCTTATTCACCTTAAAAGGTTTATCTCGGTCATGTTTTCCACCTTCCGCATGGGTCAGTGCACAGGTTAGTCACTGGGAAGGCGCTGCACGACGCTGTGATGGCCCTTGGGCTTACTCGTCACCGAGATGCAGAGATCGGACGAGTTGTTTTGGTGAACCAAAAAGTCGTTCGATGAAAGAGCGATTTGAAAGAGTCCGGTTTTGGAATGTTTTTGGGTTTTCCCGGGGTTGCGGTGTGAAAGTTCAGACAAGGTGGATCTTTCCAAACCAATCTGCCCTGAGGCTATTCGCTCGAAGACTGCAACGAGATGCTTGGCCTGGTCTTGTCAGGATTTGCAAAGTAGCAAGAACTACTGTAGCTCAATGAATCATACACTCCCAAAGCTCCTTTTGAACCGTTTTGGTCTATCCTCAGCATATCACCCTTCGGGGCTTTCCTTGGGACAGGCGTGGGAATAGAGTGAGACAGTGAGATCTAAAGATTGGACACAAAAGTAAGAGAAAAACGAATTAGTGTGCCTCCAAGGTGATCAACCTAGACGCCATATGCCACCGTGTTTGGCAAGTGTCCATTGGCTTATATACTTAGTGGGAGCGTTCTCTTTGTGAATTGGTCCGCATCATTTGATGGATTCGTAAAGGGACACCTCCAAATTGGGTGTCAGTCAACAATAAAGTATCCCCAGCAGAAGTGAATATAAACCAATTTTAGTTATATATTTAAAACATAACAAACAATCATTGCCAGATAATCAAAGGTTTGGATCTGGGCCCCTCACATCATCCCCATAGATTACATTGTATTCGTATAGTTATTTTTTCCCTTTATGCGTCAAGTGCAAGGACGGTGAACCTGATCTCTGATTTCATTGAACTAACCTTCGAGGCGAGAGGGTGAAGATAAGGGACATCGAGACATTCAGGTTGGTGTGCAACCATAATATATTTGCTTCCTCGCAGAGAGTGTGCATCTTCGCCTTCGATGCTGTAAGAGTGATACTAGTAGCTACTTGTTCCCAGTAGTAAGGCCAGGAGCCCCTAGTAGCGTCCTTGCTCCTAGTAGCGATGCCAGGAGCCCCTAGTAGCGAACCTTGTTACTGAACTAGGAGTTTTCACATTTTTGCACTGCTTCTTGCACTTGTCACCTGCACACCGTCAAAGCCAATCCTTTCGCTCATCAAGCAGCTCCCGCAACAATCCACACGCTTACTGTCTTCCTTGTCTTTTTATTTGTTTCTAATGGCGATGGCCTCCACCTAGCAATAGTGATGGCCTCCACCCAATACCGGTGGCCTCCACCTAATAGCAAGCTATCTAAACCAAACTGGTAGCAGGGCTACAAAGCTTCCGGAACCCTGAAAGAATGCCACAAAGCATGGACCCCTCCACGCTTCACAGTCAACGCTACAGTCAACACTCCCTCAACACTACAGTCAGCACTGTCAAAACGCTGGACCATTTAGGAAGGTTGCGGTTCAAAGCATTCCCAACAGATTCTTCAACGCTCCTGGCATTTTGCTAGCCCTGCCAGCACGTCGACAGTGTTGACTCCAGTGTAGACTGTAGCAGCAGCATTGACTGTAGCGTTGACTGTCAGAACGTGTCATTTGCGGCGCTTCGTTGTTTGGATGCTTGATGCATCTTGATGCTACCACGGGGAGGTCTTTCTGTTCCACCATTACGGTCTTCATTCTGCAAACTGACTTTTAAAAAGCCTCTGTCATGTTGATGAAAGAACCCTTGCACAGCTGCAGTGCCTTACACCCTCACGGTCCCTCATGCTGCTATCGCACGCACCCGCTGATCACGCCAGCTGCAAAGATGTGGCTCTTTCACTTCAGGTTGTCATTCTATCTACTGTGACGGCAAAATCCCTTACCGTTGGAAGAAATCGTATACTACACCCAGGCGCTCCCTTTTTCACACTGCTTTGTCCGACATCAAAACCTGCAAAGGTTCCATTGACGAAAATCCTGCACCACCTGCACCTGCCTGCATGACCCAACAACAATGAATGAGGTGCGAGCCTGCTGGTCTGCTGGTCTGTCAGGTGTGGATGAGTTCCGTCAACCATATATATATATTGTATCACTTCCCGCATCGTGAGCCAGGAGACCGAAGAAAGCAAAAACTTCAAGCGCTTTAGCAACACCTCCCAGCTTCGTGAACCACCGGGGCGAAACTTGTTCAGCCTTCATGAGGACGGATTCGAGTGAGACAGATTGCACAGCTTGCGGGTGAAATGAAAAGGCGGCTGCAATATGGGCCAAGCCGGACCAAATCGTTAAGTTAGATGGCCGACTAGGAAAGTACATTAGAACTAGAGCGTGAATCACAGGCTGTGGTTTAGCGGTAGTTCTGACCCGCACACAGTTTGTTTTGTCGTGGTTTGGAGGAGACTCTTTCCACCAAGCTATTCACTTGCCTTGGCAACCAGAATTGGTGAAACTGCAGTGCAGCTCCAACGAGGCTTTGCGAGACTGCGCTGAGCCAAAAACACGCTCGCCAGGACCTTGCCGGAAAGTATGGTCTTCCAATCTGGCATTGGCCAAAAGCTCCTCGGCACTGGCAAGCGCTGGTCATATGGCTCCGATATGCTCCGATACCCAGTTACTAGTAGCTTCTTGTAGCAATGATGGTTTTGTCACTAGCTTTTCCAATTCCAGCCAAACAGGCCAAATTTTGTAGAAGGTGTAAATACATAGAAAGCATCCTACAGGCACCGCGGCACGTGGTGGACAGCTTGCACTCACGGATGAACATAGTATGTACCAATCGGTTTGTTCAAGTAAAAGCGATAGTCGAGCAAAAGGGTCCGGCTACAAATCTTTATGCGAGAGGAACTTTTGCATAGAAATCATGAGGGAACCCTGTAAAGTGATATATTGAACAACCAAAAGCGTTTCATCATGTCATTCAATGTTTCCTGTGTGCTATTTCTTGGTTTGGCCATGTCCGCTTTACATAAAGCGATACCAGAGCAATACCACTGTTTGATTAAAATGGTGTCTAGATGAGCGGGAGCTCCTTTTGTATCATTATATATCCAATCTGTGCATGCCACAGATGAAGAGATCTCGAAATGAATCACTGGGGCAGTGAAGGGGGAACGAAGGGCTGGTGAACAGAATTCTCTCTCTCTCTCTCTCCCTCTCTTTGTTTTGTATTCACATCTATATATACATATTATCAATTTACATAAACACTGTGAAGCGATATAGCGAACAAGCAAAAGAGATACCAGCATATGGAGTTCCATTCTTTATGTACGGGTCATGTTACATATTTCTTATTATTTCAATGTCTTGGCAAATTCGCTCTTGCGTGGCAGAAAAGAATCAAGGAGCCAGTACAGTCGGCCTTTGGACTCTAGGCTGTGGTTCTTTGTTGGGCTTACAATTTTGTGTCAAGGGGGTTGCTGAGGCGTTTCATAAACATGGAGGGCAGAGAATCGCTGCTAAGACTGCTACACGATGCTAAGTGCGTAGAACATGTGAAGCCCAGAGTTGAAAGGGACAAGTCCCTGGAACGATACTGACTTGCTTGGAGGAAGAAGCTGACACAAGCTGACCGGTCAATGGATTAGACATGTCATGTCATGCTTTTGACTCCGAGGTCCGCTTTCGAGAGTCTGGGACATTGCATCGGGCTGCCTCCATGCAGACCTTCTTGGTAGCTTGGTGGGTTGTGAAAGGCGTAGCGAGAGACCAGGGATCTAGGGCACCCCTTGGGGGACAGCAGTTATGCAACAGGTCTATTGTACCTTAGTTTCAAGTCAGCTGAGTTCAATGTTTTTGTGTTCTTTTGCGTACCATCGCGTCGAATCACATCCAAACCTCAGGAAAAGCAGGCAATTCGAAACGACAATGTGGTGCCAGCAGCTGCGCTTCAAGAGCTTTTCTTCGCTCAGGCACGCGCTGAATCCGGACATCATATCTTGAGCCTTAACAAGGGGTTGGATTTTCACTTCAAGACAGACACAAATACAAAGGTTTAAAAGATTCCGTTGTTGGGACCCTGCTTGCGGATCACTTAGATGCCACAATTGTCGATCAAAGCACGATCATGAGCACTCATTTTGAAGTGTGCCGTTGGTTTTGGCAACTTCAAAAGGATTCGCACGTTCGTTGATTGTGCCTTTCTCAGCGTGAAACCTTCAACGAAAGTTGACTGCTGTGGTCAGGAGTGGGAAGTTCATCGACAGATCTTCGAGAATGGGCGATTGCTTAAACAGTTCAAAGCCATGAAAGAGATTCTTCTGGCTGGAGATACGAATCGATCCTGGGTGGAAGATTGGGATGTACGGAAGCTTCCGGGTTTTCCGAACAACAGCAACAGCCTTGGAACCCACTTGATTATCCTTATACACTATTCGTTGCTTACGTGGCAGATCAAAACCAAGCAACAGTTGGATGGATGTGCTGACAGATCCACTTCACGGACTGAGTCGCGACTTTCTACTAGTAACAAGTGCCTTACTAGCAGTAACAAG